AGAGTAGCCCACAATATCTGCGTCAACCATTCATTGTTCCTTTTCATATATTTTACAGCAGCTGGCACGATTGCTTTGAATAAACAGCCCTTCCTCTTTTCCCCTTTAAAATGCATTTGAAAAGACACTCGCCCAGTACAAGTTGTACGTATGTTTGAAAGCCACTAATCCCCATTTTAGCCTCAGTGTAGGGACTAGGCTGCAGAGCAAAGTGTGTGCGATTAATAGAGAAGAATCCGCCTGCCTTTCTCGTTTCTTTTATTAACACGCGCACCTTAGGCTGGTCCGAGCGGAAAGAAAACAGTGTTGTGAAAAAGAAAGGGGAGAGATCATCTTTTACCTTTTAACCCGGGGATTGTCAATTTCTATCAGGGGAGGCAAGGCCTGACACGCTCAGGGTAGCTGCAGCCTGATTTGCATACGGCGAATTCTTTCATCAGCAGCAGGAATTGTGACAGGGGCTAATTAGCATTTCCACCCCGTATTCAATTCTTTTATTTATTTATTTTTGAGGACAAGTGCCAGAAGCAGTGGAGGAAGTTTAACTAAACCCAGATTTTGATTTTCTCCCCCCCCCCCCCAAATGCTTTCTGATTTTGGAAGAAGAAAATGATGGTGATGAAATAATCACCATAATAACAACAGCATATCTTTGGCATGGTGGTGGAGGGACCCATAGGAAAGGGAGAGCGAATTCAGTCAGGAAATTAAGTACAGGCATAACACGCGTGGATTCTTTTCAGCTTCTAAAGGCATTATGGCATGGCCTTTTGGCAAAAAAGAATTACTCTTTGTATTCACCCCAATGTGGGAGGCTATTGAGAGCCATGTTGCATGGACAGCTCATCACCCATAAGTCAAGGTAAGGTGGCTTCTGATCTACAGGGGCAGAAGATCCCAGTGTAGACCTTTGGTCTCCCCTTGTTTCTGGTGTAGATCTTCACTCCTCACTTCTTCACTGGCAGGGAAAGGGCACTATTTTGTGGTTCGCCTCAGGTGCTGGGTTAGAATTCTGCCTTTATAGTCTTATATTTGGAGTTGTTCAATCATGGGAGCCTATGCATAGAGCGGCAAGTTTAGATGTCTTCTAAAGGTTGTATAGTTACTTATCTCCTTGGCTCAGGGGTCGCATAACTCCATACCCTCCAACTATTCTCTGATTAAAATAGAGACAACCTAAGGAAAAGCGGGACATTCCAGGATCAGATCAGAAACTGGGACAAATTCTGTAAATCCGGGACTGTCCCCGGAAAAGAGGACACTTGGAAGGTGTACACTATTGCACATGGAGGGTTATTCTGTGCTTACTGCAATCTGCACTCATTTGGTCTATTCTGCCTTCTAAAGCAAAAAAGAAAAAAGAAAAAAAGGGGGGAAGTGTTAATAAACCAATCTAACAATCTCCTTTATTAAAAGAAACTTTTTTAAAAACAAAAATTAAGTATACAGTGGTACCTCTAGTTGTGTTCCGCTCTTGTTACGGACTTTCAGCTTATGAACGCAGCAAACCCAGAAGTGTTTACTCCCGGGTTCACCATGCGCACATGCGCAGAAGTGATCTGTATGCTTCATGAATGCGCAAAAGTTATCTGTGCGCTTCGCACATGCGCAGAAGCGCTCGATTGCGCCGCACACATGCACGGAAGAGGCTCTCTAGCTGTGGACTTTTCAGGGTGAGAATGGCACCCCAAAATGGATTAAGTCTGCAACTAGAGGTACCACTGTATTTATATCCCACTTTCCTCCAAATTGGGACTCAAGGTAGCTTACATTTTTAAAACATCATTACAAAACTTAGGAATGTTTAATAGGTGGTTTTAATGCTCACAGCGCAACTGACTGAACAGTTATAATTAGGTGTTGAAGAGCCTTATCTATAGCTCCCAGCACCCCCTATACCACTCCAAAAATATTTTCCAAAAATACAAAAAAAGAGAGCATGATTTACCAGGGACAGGACCCAGAATAATGAGACTGCTTCTGATGGATAGAGACATTTGAAGCATGGGCAATGAGTGACTCATTACAGATGAAATAAAAGAGACCATATTAAGGAGTTATTAGTCCAGCTCGTAGGTGCAACGCAGACATAAAGTTTAAGTCCTTGAGCATTACTCCAAGGAAGTACAATCTTAAGTTGGGGAGCAAACTGCTAAAAGTAGTAGCCTGTGATGACATCCATCACCACATCAACTTGTGAGGGACCCATCAAAAGAAGACAATTGCCACTTTATGGATTTCATACCACTCAATCAGGACAATGAAGACTCCCTTTGGAATCGTACTTGTAATTGGGGTGCTATTGGAAGAGGGATGATGTGGAGATGATTTGACTGTGGAATCATCTGGGAGGCATTTTGGGGAGTTTGGGGGGTCACTTAAGGACTTGCAAGCCTCTTCCCTTTTACAGCTCATTTTTGCATGTCTAATTTATGGCCTCGGTCAGCAGATTCTAACTAGGAATGAGGGAGACATTTGACTCAGGTTGTTGGAGGGAAATCCAAGCATACACTGCAACTCGGAGAAGCTCACCCCCCAAATGCCCCATCAATCATTGTGCGGGGAGACACTGTCATTTGTTTGAACTTGGATGACTATCAGCGTAGCACCAGGAAGATTTCAGGACCTTGCATCCCTTGTTCCTTGCACAGAGCAGTTGCTAAGAAGAGCATAAGTTACAAACTAAGATGTCTCCGGGTCAATCCCATTGATTAAAATTAAAAACCTGAATGAATGGAGTAGAGATCACTCAAAAGATAACAAAACAGGCGCTAGGCAAGCATATTAATGGGAAGAGTGAGCAGATATGGAAGTTGCTTTGTATTGCAGTGTTCCATCTAGCTCCACTGACCAACAATGGCTGGATCTCAGACAGGAGTTTTTCCTGGCCTTCCGGGAGGTGCCTAGAATTGAACCTGGTATCTTCTGCATGCAAATCACTGCATGTTAACTCTGAGCTATGAGCCTTCCCTTAGGTGCCACCACAGAAAAGATTCCTGTGTTCTCCAAGAGTCACCCACCTAAGCTCAGAAGAAGGCAGCACATGGAGAAGAACTTCAGCCGCAGGCAGATTTTGTGAGAGGCCAGTTAGATGCTCGGGGTCTCTGTCCAGTTTTGTTGCAGCTCTGTTGTCTGTTTCTCCCCTATAATGTCCAAGTAGTAAAATGACAAAGAGCAAGACTCAACTAATTAGTCCTACTAGTGGAAGTCTGTGCAAGGGTTTCTGCTAGAGCATCAGAGCTTCCACTCCTTTCCTCCCCTTGCATGCTTCCCACGATTGGTTCGGGAAGGGTGGGAGGACTCCCAAAACAGCATGCGGGGAAAGGAGAGGGGGGAATTGTTCTGTCTGGTGAGCTGAAAAGCTTGTGGTGTTGGAATGATTGCCATAATGCTATGCTGAATTCCTCCCCAAAGCCTCTCATTCATATGTTCAGGGAATGAAATAGAACCTTGGAGAGCCAGTGTGGTTCAGAGCGGTGGACTCGTAATCTGGTGAACCAGGTTCGATTCCCTGCTCTTCCACATGCAGCTTCTGGGTGACCTTGGGCTAGTCACACTTCTCTGAAGTCTCTCAGCCCCACTCACCTCACAGAGTGTTTGTTGTGGGGGAGGAAGGGAATGGAGAATGTTAGCTGCTTTGAGACTCCTTTGGGTAGTGATAAAGCGGGATATCAAATCCAAACTCTTCTTCTTCTTCTTCTTCTACCTCCATCATTCTGCCCAGACACTGAGGCCCAGCGCCGAGGGCCTTCTGGTGGTTCCCTCGCTGCGAGAAGCCAATTTACAGGGAACCAGGCAGAGGGCCTTCTCGGTAGTGGCGCCCGCCCTGTGGAACGCCCTGCCACCACTTGTCAAAGAGAAAAATAACTACCAAACTTTTAGAAGACATCTAAAGGCAGCCCTGTTTAGGGAAGCTTTTAATGTTTAATAGGTTATTGTATTTTAGTGCTTTGTTGGAAGCCGCCCAGAGTGGCTGGGGGGACCCAGCCAGATGGGCGGGGTATAAAAAATAAATTATTCTTATTATTGTTATTATTATACTGTATGTTCAGGGAATGGGATAGTACCTGCCTGCCCAACCCTCTCTCCAAACCTCCATTCACTTTGCAACATTTTTTTTAAGAGGCCTCTCTATGCATGCCTACTGCTGAGCACCCATGACTTTTTGCACAGTCAGGAATCCTGGTTAGAGAGGGTTATTGTGTGAATAACTTGTGTGTTGCAGTTGGGGCAGATGAAGGTGTCCGGTTCTGCTGCTGCAGATTCAACATGGTGGTTTTATGCCCCTCTGCGCACCTCCCAGTAGTTGTTCCACCTCCGGTCACTGCTGTGGATGGGGCAGCCTGGCTTAAGGCAGGCAGTAGCTGACCAGTGGGACATGGTGATCTCTCCTACTGGTACTGTATGCCAATCCGGTTGAACTTATAGCTCGTAACTGCTGCCTCCCACGTTGGCCTTTTCTTTTTGAACTCGCAATTTTTATGCCTTACAATGAGAGGAGCGGAAGGCAGATCCCTTTGATACCTAGAGAACAGCATAGCACAAACACAGCTTAGGCTCCTACCTGGATTGTTCTTTAATTACAGAAAATTAACGAGGAGAGTTCTCCCTGACAGCCCCATGCCTCTAACTGTGTTTGTGAAAATATTCTGCGCTTTCAGAAGTGCAGAACTTCCATGCCTTTAGGATATAGCAGTTCTTTACTTGGATTCAAATGATTAAAGAGCTAATTTTCTTAGTGGGAGGTTGGTACATTTCAACCAGATAACTGCATTATAGGGATATGGGTACTTTTCAGTTTCATGACAGCCTAGGGAATTTCGAGTCACCCAACTTTCCGTGAGCTGCAGTTCAGAATACGTGCCACCATGAAAGCAAACGGGAAACCACACACTAGGTACAAACAGCTTCTGAAGCCCCTATTTATTACATAGCTGGGGACTCTCTTTTTTCTCTTGGGGACTGACTTGTGCAGATCTGTTCTATTTGATCAAGATCTGCTCTGTTTAAATGAGTACATTCATTTACATCATAGAGTTAATTTACTCTGCATTATTCCAGTAGAGTTTTCTACTGATTTTCAATGTTGCTGCAATTGTTCGTTTTAATCTGCTTTAAATAAAACACACACACGTTCCATAATTTATATCATAAATTATCAGGGCACTTTAGGCCAAGTTGGGCATCTCTGACGGACCCCAGCACTTAATTTATAAATAAAGGAGTTGCAGCCCTTTTGGTTACCAATCTCTTCTGGCTTAGGAATTCTACCTTCCAATTATGGATATGGAGGACCCACCTAAATTTTTATCAGTAATGAGGAAATGCCCTCTGCACGTGCACCGGGGAACTCTTTTCTTTGCTGTCACTTTGTCATTTATGGGGGGAGGCGCTGATAGCTGGAAGAACACTTGAAGGGGAATGATCCTGCACGCCACCATCCAACAGGCCTCCTTGAATCCTCATGGGGGGAAAGTTTATCTTCAAGGGCCAGAATACAATAGCTTCTGCATCCAAGATGAGTAGACCAGTGGTTGTCTCCTCCTTTCTCCCAACATTCTTGAAACTTGAGGAAGACAATGCAGGATCTTTTTTCCACTGGAGATCAGGGACATCCACTGAAGCTGAAAGGTGGATAATTTAGGACAGACAGAATAAAGTTAGTGACCCTATGGAACTCGCTTCCACAAGAGACAGAGGTGGCCACAAACTTGGATGGCTTTAAAAGAGGACTGGACAAATTCATGGAGGGCAAGAATATCAATGGCTACTAACCCTCATAGCTATGTTCCTCCTCTGTTGTTGGAGGCAGCATGCCTGGGAATACTGGGAATCACAAATGGGGAGAGTGCTGCTGCCCCCCATGTTTCACTTCATAGAATCATAGAACTGTAGAGTTGGAAGGGACCCTAAGGATCATCTAGTCCAACCCCCTGCAATGCAGGAATATGCAGCTGGTCCATACAGGGATCGAACCTGCAACCTTGGTGTTATCAGCACCATGGTCTAACCAACTGAGCTATCCAGGCTTGTGGGCTTCCTATAAGCATCTGGTTGGCCACTGTGGGAAGAGGATGCAGGAATGGATGATCTAGCACAGGGGTCAGCAAACTTTTTCAGCAGGGGGCCGGTCCACTGTCCCTCAGACCTTGTGGGGGGCCGGACTATATTTTTGGGGGGAGGGGGGAATGAATGAATTCCTATACCCCACAAATAACCTAGAGATGCATTTTAAATACAAACACACATTCTACTGATGTAAAAACACCAGGCAGGACCCACAAATAACTCAGAGATGCATAAAAGAACACATTCTACTCATCTAAAAGCACGCTGATTCCTGTACGGTCCGCTGGCCGGATTGAGAAGGTGATTGGGCCAGATCCGGCCCCCAGGCCTTACTTTGCCCACCCATGATCTAGCAGGCTTTTTTCATGCTCTTATGGGGGTTATACTACAACTCCCATCATCCCTTGTGGAAAATGCCAGTGTCTCCACTGTGACCTGAAGCAACTTGACTTGTACATTTGGGCTCTTATTTGTAACAAATAACAAATGCTTTCCCCCATAAGGCGGCTAATGTGTTTGCCTATAGTCTGCAAAGGCTTATCCATCCAAAAAGACGGTGTTTTCAAAGATCCTTTCTCGACATTCGAGCAAGTCCATCACAGCTTCAGCTCAGGATTTTTTTTGGGGGGGGGGTTGGAGGAAAATAATAACCACAGATCGGCCTTTGCTTCTGTGGAGGAACCTTCCTCCCCCCCCCCACTTTATAATATTTTATAATGTCGGTTGAAAGCAGATGGATGTCAATTCTTTCTTTTTCAGTAGTTATACACAGTACAGTAATCTGGGTTCAGACAAGTTAGCTTATTGAATGAAAATGCTCACCCCACCCCACTGGTCTGCATTCCAGAATTCAAAAGGAGGTGGTTTTTTTTGGGGGGGGGGTCGAGGCTGGGATTAGAGCCAGACTGAAGAGTACCGATGCAGTCTGTCAGCAAGCCCTGAGGTAACAATATCATAATTTATAAATTCTACCAACAATAGGCTAGCAATTAAAGAGGTAAGTTTCCTTTTCCCTGTCCCCGTTTCCAGCCAAAAAGATCTCAAAAGCTCAAGCAAATGCGTTTGCATTTCAAGAAAGCGGGGGGGGGGGGAGAGAGAAAGTAAAATAAAGCACAAAGTTAAAAGCGGAGAGAAGAGGAGGGGAAGAAAGGAAAGGGACTTCGTTTTTGCTTCTGTTGTAACTTGCAACTCTTAACTTCTCCTGCTCTCGTGGCTGACAGTAAGCCGGACACGACGACATGCCTCTTCAAGTGACCCAGAGTAACGTTCATGCCCAAGCAGTTTTCAACATTTAATTGGTGTTATTTTAATAGAACACAGAGGACCCGCAATTCTGTTGGGATAAACGGGTGGAAATGTCATGTCTGTGCTAGCTGAGCTCTGCAGACTTCCTACCCCAAAGGAAGGTGGGAGAAAGGGACGGCTAATGCAGGCCACAAGAAACTGAAAATAAGGACTATATCCCCCCCACAACTGTCAGAAGCAGAATAACAAACAGTGCTGAACTAGAGCACATCCAGGCCACACATTTAAAACATGAGGATACCCTAGCCTAGGGTTCCCAGACGTCCCCGTTTCCCGGGGACAATCCCTGGATTTACAAATCAGTCCCCTGACAAAATCCATCTATTCAGTAGGAAGTTGAAAAGAGTTCCCGGATTCATTGAAAAAAATCTGGTAACCTTACCATTGCCTCCCCCAAAGAATCATGGGAGCTGTAGTTTGTTAAAGGTGCTGAGAGTTGTTAGGAGACCCCTATTCCCTTCACAGAGTTACAATTCCCAGAGTTCCCTTGGAAGAGGAATGAACTCTGGGAGGGGAATAGGGGGTCTCCTGAAAACTCTCAGCACCCTTAACAAACTACAGCTCCCACAATTCTCTGGGCAAAGCTATGCCTTTTAAAAGTGGTATCTGAGTGCTGCACTGGTATGGTATGAATGTGGCCCTAGATGAACCAATGGTCCAACTCAGCTTCGTATGTGCCAAGCTCAAATCAGTTTCTCTCTGTGAGTGTTATCCAATCACTCTTGAAGGAACCTGATTTTCTAGATCCATTTCAGCTGGGGTTTAGGCCTGGTTTTGGCACAAACTGCTTTGGTCGCCCTGTATGATGACTTCTGTCAGGAGAAAGACAAGGGAAATAGGTCCCTGTCAATTCATCTCAAGTCTCAGCAGCTCTTGATACCAGCAACCATGATATCCTTCTGGTGGTTTGTGGTGGTTCCTCCTTGGACAGTTGTTTCCAGAGGGAGTGCTTTTCGGCACCAATTGAGTTTTCAAAGTGGGGTTCCTCAGGGTCTGATTTTATCCCCCATGCTGTTTAACATCTACCTGAAACCACCGCATGGGGTCATCCAGAGTTCTGCATTACTTTGTCAGCGATATGCTGATGACCCACAATTCTATTTCTCCTTTACATCTGCAGGTGAGGCAGTAGATGTGCTGTTCTGATCATCAGTTGCTGGAAATGGCAGCAGGAGAAAGTGCCCTTGGACTTAGGTCTTGCTTGAAGGTTTTCCACAGGCATCTGTGGTTGGTCAAAGTGAGAACAGGATGCTGGACTAGATCTGCCATAGGCCTGATCCAGCTTATTCTATTGTGTCCTTATGCTGTGTGTGTAGCCATTCTTACGTGAAAAGATTTCCCTCCCAAGAACTACTGTTTTATCCTTCTTGTAAACTTTTAATCTTGTTTCTTAAAACTTTTGTGAAGAAGAAGAAGAGTTTGGATTTGATATCCCGCTTTATCACTACCTGAAGGAGTCTCAAAGAGGCTACATTCTCCTTCCCCTTCCTCCCCCACAACAAATACTCTGTGAGGTGAGTGGGGTTGAGAGACTTCAAAAAAGAAGAAGAAGAGTTTGGATTTGATATCCCGCTTTATCACAACCCGAAGTAGTCTCAAAGCAGCTAACATTCTCCTTTCCCTTCCTCCCCCACAACAAACACTGTGAGGTGAGTGGGGCTGAGAGACTTCAAAGAAGTGTGACAAGCCCAAGATCACCCAGCAGCTGCATGTGGAGGAGCGGGGAAGCAAACCCGGTTCCCCAGATTACGAGTCTATTGCTCTTAACCACTACACCACACTGTGGTATCTTTTCATATGCCACCCGTGTCCAAGTGTCAAGTTCTGCGCTGTATTCAGTGGCAGAGGAAGGGGTGTGTGGTGGGAGCGGGTTGACCCGGGTGTCACCACGGGGGGGGTGACAAAATGCCGGGCAGCACTCCCCGCAGGGCCTGCAGCACACCTGAGCCACACGTCTCTCTGCTCTGCCCAAACAGTCTACCCACTGCCTTCCGCCCAGCTGTAGGGCAGCTGAGTGGGAGGAGGCAGGCAGACTCTGCCGCTGGCTGTATTGCAGGTTCTCAATGAGACACAAAGTAAGTTAGTGGAAAGCAGTTGGAAGTAACCAACTCCTTCCCCTAGTGGCAGCAAGAGTCTACTAAGAAGCATGGGTGAACAGAGGGGGACACTCCCGTTTTGGCTAGATCTCCCTTCCCATCGCTACATGGCGCTACATGGCGCAAGCTGGAGCGCTGTGACAGTCCCACACAATTAGCTTGTTGACAAGGTGGTAAACTTGTGGGCTAGACGATGCACCTGATATTTGGATCTGCAGTTGGTTAATGAACCATACCTAAAGAGTGTTCACTAATGGCTCCACATCAGCATGGAGAGCAGTGACAAGTGGAGAGCTGCAGGGGTCTCTCCTGGGCCCATTGTTGTTCCACATCTTTGTAAATGATTTGGACAAAAGGAGCAGAGGGGATGCTCATCACATTTGTTGATGACACCAAACTGGGTGGGGTACTTTAGAAGACAAGGAACAGGATTCAAGGTGATCTTGACAGAATGCAGAACTGTGTCAAAACTAACTGAACAAATTTCAAAAGAGATTTTGGCAAAGTTTTCCATTTGGTCGGCAAAGTCAGATGCAGAAACATAGCACGGGGTGTCACCTAACTTGAAAGCTGTACTGTATGAAAAGGATCTAAGGGTCTTTGTAGACCACAAGCTAAGCATGAGACAGCAGTGCAATGCAGTGTCTGAACAGGCTAATACAATGATTATTATTAGTTAATATTATAATTCATTAAATTTCTATGCTACCCTTCATCCAAGGATCACAGGGCAATTTACAAAATGAAAACTCAAAAACAGAGTAATTCTAGGCTGCATCAACAGAAGTAATGTCCAGATCATGAGAAGTAATGGCACCACTCTATTTTGGAAGATGTTGAGGGACTTAGATAACAAGTCCTATAAAGAAATTGGATATGCTGGAGAAGGGATTATCAAAAGGTGATATGATAGTCATCTTCAAATAGTTGATCAGCTGCAATGTAGATGACAGAGAAACTGTCTCTTCTGATGTTCCAGAGAGTAGGGCCTGACCCAATGGTCAAATTGCAAGAAAGGGGGTTTCAGCTAAACATCAGGAACGCAGTATGAGCTGTTTGATATTGACAAGAGCAGAAGGGTAGACTCTCTTTTGTTAGAGATGGGATGCTGGGATGTCCACGCTATCTGTGATGCTTTAGCATTTTCTACATTGCTTAGGGGGCTAGACTATAGGATCTTTGAGCTCCCAACTCTGTGAGTCTAAAAACAGGAGAGTGCAGCTTTTAATTTCTGCATAGCTTGTATAAGGTTTGAAGGGGATTTTGTATGGGGAATAAGCTTTCTCCACCATGTCATTTCCTTGCCTAATGTTACACTGGCCTGGCGCAAGCAGGAAGCATCATTTAATCGTGTTTCATCCTATCCCACCCTCCACACACAATGTGTGAAATTGCTCTGCGATTTTGACACTAACAAGAGTGCAACGTTGAGTATTTGGCCTCGTTTCCTTCCTCTCAGGTAGGTATAATGATCTAATTTTCATAACTGTGGAAACAGCCAAAGCCAAAAGAAACACAATACTTTCTTGGTGTGGCACACAAAGCTGAAATCCAAGCCAAAATACAGAATCTAGGGCCTCTGAAACACTTATTTGAACTTGTAGAAACAGCCATGGATTTGCACTGATGGTCTCACAAAAGGTGAGACATTTCCTTGAGCGAAGAGGGCGACTTTTGTCTTGGAATCAAGTGTGGCTATCTCCAGAAAACAAGTTTTTTCCTGAACAGCTTCCAGTTCTGCCTAGTTCATTCCAGTTGCATGCCCTTTCCTCAAAATGTGTTCCCTCATGTATGAGTGCCAGCATAGCTGTCCTGATAAACCGAGGTTATGAAAGGAGTTGCTTCAGGCACTGTTGTTTTGATCGAGGCAAGTGCTCTGGAGAGGCAGGATGGGAAATAAGTCTCTCTTTCAGTAGAGAGAGAGAGAGAGAGAGAGAGAGAGAGAGAGAGAGAGAAATTTGGGGGAGGGGGGAAGAAGACATGATATTGAAGTTAACATGGTTGTGAAATGTGACAATGCTGTCCCCCACACAACTAGTACTTTGTGAGGAATTCGAGTGCTGAGTCCAATCAGACACTCAAGCCATGCTTGATCCCTGCTCCGAGTGAATTAATGGAAGGGAAATATTTGTGACAGGTGGGGTGTGAGGGAAGGAAAATAAAACATATTCTAAGGCCAGAAGGAGAAGATATAAGGGAAACTTGGGGTTCTCAAGCCCAGGCTTCCTTTGTGACACAGTAATGCGAGAAGTGGTGTGGGATGGAGGTCACATGCAGGTAATAATTGGCAGTGATAAGGAATACTTAATTCTCCCCAAGAAATATTCTTGATTTTTCAGCATCTGGTCTTTCCAACTCTCAGTGAACCCAGCTAAGACTGTGGGTGGGTGTAAAAAAAATCTCTTCCAGAATACAAGCGCATAATCCTATGCAAGTTTACATAGAAGTAAGGTCCATTGTATTCAATGGGGGGTTGATCCCTAGAAAGTGTTTTAGGATTGCAGCATTGGAGGACAATTCAAAACCCAGGCAAAGACCAGGGGGTTTTAAGAAGTGGTAGTGCCAAAGACTCCTGCACAGCCCAGTCACACACAGCAGGGGCTGGACAATCTCTGCACCAGTCTAGCAATGATGCAGGGACTGGGACCATTACAGGATCCCATCAATTCCAGGAAGGCTCAGCTCCTCCCTGTCAGAGGCGTACCTAGGATCATCATCATTTTTTATTTGTATGCTGCCTTTCCACAGTTAAAAAAACAATGCTCAAGGCAGCTTACACCATAGGATCCCCTGTGCCCTTGACAAGGAGCTGTCCTCTCTATGAAAAAACCACTTTAAAAACCATATTAAAAACACGATAAAACATCAAACATTAAAAGATTCCCTAAACAGGGCTGCCTTCAGATGCCTTCCAAAAGTCAGATAGTTGTTTATTTCCTTGACATCTGGTGGGAGGGCATTCCACAGGGCGGGTGCCACTACCAAGAAGGCTCCCTGCCTGGTTCCCTGTAACTTGGTTTCTCGCAGGAGTGAACCGCCAGAAGGCCCTCAGAGCTGGACCTCAGTGTCAGGGCAGAACGATGGGGGTGGAGACGCTCCTTCAGGTATACTGAAGGTCCAGAGTGAGGAGGGCAAGAGTGAAAAATTTGCACTCATTTGTGCCGCAGTGCAAGAAGGATGGGAAGCTTCTCTTGTGTCACAACACACCTCTATGTCATGCACTCCATAGTCTTGTAGTTGATTTTTGTGCACGTGTGTGCGCGTGCGCACACACACACACACTGGGCCTGCTCCCCTAGTGGGGGCGAGTTTTGCCAATCCCTAGGGTACATCTCTGCCTGGGACATTCTGTTTCAGGGCCTGCACTTGTGGGGACGCATCACACATTTGGTGGGCAGAAGGCAAACCTCTGCATAGGCATTGGTTGGGGGGATCTGGCTTAGCCATCAGATCTGGACAGAGAGGCACATGTGCTCAGTCCAGTCTGGAAAACGGGGTTGGATTGCTCTGCTAGCCAGTCCTCCACCCCACTCAAAAAGAACCCCACCTCCTTCTTTCTATAGCCACTCACAAAAGTTCATTCTCAGGGGAACTCTGATTGGATGGCTGCATGCCCACAGCCTCTGTTCATACAGAGACACTCTCCTCAGAAGGAACCTGATCCAACCACATCTCTGCATGGGTTCTTTAATGCATCAACTATATAGAGTGAGTACACAACAGACTTGTCTACCTTGATGGAGGCTCAGGTGCAATGGGACATAATTCATAAAGGCAAAATTCAAAGTGTGGGTTATGCCCTCTAAACCCCTACATGGCTTAGGTCCTAGCTATCTCAAAGACCGTATTCCCTCATATGAACCTGCCCGGGTTTTGAGATCTCCAGGAGATCTCTTGGTCCTACCACCCTCACAGGCAAACTTTGTGGGGATGTGGGAAAGGGCCTTCTCGGTGGCTGCTCTCAAACTCTGGAAATCCCTCCCTGGAGAAGCTAGACTGGCCTCCTCCTTCCCCTCTTCTTGCCTCCTTCTTTCTACCAGTAGGTGAAAAACTTATTCTTCCAACATGCTTTTCAAAACTGACTGCTTTTAATGAAAGGGCTGGCACCGAACTATTTTTATTGTGATTATCTCTATGTTTCCAAACAGATTTTATATATGTATATAGTTTCAATCTTATCGATGTTCAGTTGTTTTTTAATGATTGATTTTTCTATGTTTTGATCTATAAATTTGCCTCGAGTCCTGTCAGGGGGAAATGCAGGGTATAAATAGATGAAGGAGGAGGAGGAGGAGGAGGAGAATCCAGCTGAATAAGACCATTAGTCCTTCTGCTACAGTGTGGCCATCTAGGCACTTCCAGGAAGCCCACAAGAAGTTGGTAGACCTTCTCCAGCAACCAGTACAGTGGTGCCCCCCAAGACGAATGCCTCGCAAGATGAAAAACTCGCTAGACGAAAGGGTTTTGCGTTTTTTGAGTCGTTCCGCAAGACGAATTTCCCTATGGGCTTGCTTCGCAAGACGAAACGTCTTGCGAGTTCTTGCGAGTTTGTTTCCTTTTTCATAAAGCCGCTAAGCCGTTAATAGCCGCTAAGCCGCTAAGCCGCTAATAGCTGTGCTTCGCAAGACTAAGAGACTTGCGGAACGTATTAATTTCGTCTTGCGAGGCACCACTGTATTTGCCTAGGAGCTATTGACAGACCTTTCCTTCCATTACAGTGGTACCTTGGGTTAAGTACTAATTCGTTCCGGAGGTCCGTTCTTAACCTGAAACTGTTCTTAACCTGAAGCACCACTTTAGCTAATGGGGCCTCCTGCTGCTGCTGTGTTGCCGCTGCACGATTTCTGTTCTCATCCTGAAGCAAAGTTCTTAACCTGAAGCACTATTTCTGGGTTAGCGGAGTCTGTAACCTGAAGTGTATGTAACCCGAGGTACCACTGTAATTTGTTTACCACAGGCTTCCCCAACCTGCTGTCCTCCATACGTTTTGGAGTACAACTCTCACTGTCCCCAAACAATGGCCATGCTGGATGGGGCTGATGGCAGCTGTAGTCCAACAATATCTGAAGGGAAGCAGCTTGGGGAAGGCTGACCTACAAAGTCCTCCAACTTCATGGGAATCTTTAATTGTTTGAGTGAATCCTTTCCTAGTGTGCCCACTCAATGCAGAGGCAGAGAACAACTGGTTTAAGGAGTACATGCGAAATATATAAAAAATGTAAAAGGTCCAAGAGTTTTGTATCCCAGATCATCAGATGCTCATATTCCCCTTAGAATAGATGCAAAATAAACAATAGATGAAAAGGGGGAAAGGAAGAAACCTGTCTCTGTGAGCCGAATAATATGATTTTGAATTTCACACATCCTCAGAGGGGAGGACAATGCAAGGTCAATGCATTTTTGTCTCACTTTTATGCAAGCTAACTGAACAGACAATTTTCCATGGTTTTCTTTCTTTCTTTTTTAAAAAAACCTTTATTTTCATTCAGTGTTAATCTAATGTGCAGATAGAAATAGCCCAAAAAAGAATGTATTAAAACACAAAATTCCCCCTTAGGAGCTTGGCCTCCCACCCTGAAGCAGAGTGAGCTCGTCTTCTGGCCAGCAATGCCAATCTATAGTTATTATATCTCTTTGTCTCTTTTCATATCTCCTAATAGAAACATTGTTGTAGCTTCTGGCTAGAAAATTAGCCAAGTGAACTCTCGCTGTCTGTCTCTCCCTCTTCTCATCAGATTAGTGGGGGAATTTAACAGGGCCTCGTTCAACTCACTTGCTCTTTTCTTTGCGAGGCTGGTACCACAATGCAAAAGGGAGCTGCGAGCATATTAATTTACCTCCGTTCGTCAAAGGCTCTTCCTTCCTCCTTACTTGTCAAAATATATTTGCCGCTATAGTTTATCGCAAGATCCTGAAAGTGTCCAGTTGGATATGAGCATCTTCCACATTCTGCTTTCAGGCCACAAACTGGAAGTTGAAACCTTGAATCACTTTGTTGACAAGCTGTGCTTCTACTTAAGGGACCCTTAACCTAAGAAGTCCATTCTTAAGGAAATCAGCCCTGAGTGCTCACTGGAAGGACAGATCCTGAAGCTGAGGCTCCAATGCTTTGGCCACCTCGTGAGAAGAGAAGACTCCCTGGAAAAGACCCTGATGTTGGGAAAGATGGAGGGCACAAGGAGAAGGGGACGACAGAGGACGAGATGGTTGGATAGTGTTCTCGAAGCTACCAGCATGAGTTTGACCAAACTGCGGGAGGCAGTGGAAGACAGGAGTGCCTGGCGTGCTCTGGTCCATGGGGTCACGAAGAGTCGGACACGACTAAACGACTAAACAACAACAACAACAACATAAGAAAAGTCTCCAGCCAGATGCGCATCGGCTGCCAAGCAGGCCAAAAACGCAATAGCTCCTTCCTCATGTTGTTCCCCATTGACTGATATTCAGAGGCACACTGACTGTGATCCTGGAAGTAGTATTGCAGTCGTCACAACTAGTTGATTGCCTTATCTCCGTGAATTTGTCTAAACCCCTTTTAAAGCAATCCTAGTTGGTGGCCATCAACACAAATTCTAGCAGTGAATTTCATAGTTTGTTTTCTGTGAAAAAGTACTTCTTGTCTGGCTTGAATCTACCTTAGGATTCCTGAAGTTGTTTCCTTGTTACCCTAGTCATGCTGGGAGAATATTGCACTTTTCTTCACAACAAAACCATATCTATTCATTCCCTGTCAGGTGATTCCATACTTTCCAATATTTCTCCACTGAAAATAGGGACATCCTATTCCATGATGTTGATGTTGATGATTTTATATACCTCCCATAGGACTGGGTTGCCCCAGCCACTCTGGGCAACTTCCAACATATATAAAAACATAATAAAATGTTGAACTTAAAAAAAAAAAATCCATAACAGGGCTGCCTTCAGTTGTCTTGTTAAAGTTGCATCATTACTTATCTCCTTGGCTCAGGGGTTGCATAACTCCATACTTTCCAACATTTCTCCGGTGAAAATAGGGACGTCGTGAGGAAAAGCGGGACATTCTGGGATCAAATCGGAAACTGGGGTGGCTTCTGCAAAGCCAGGGCTGTCTCTGGAAAATAAGGACATATGGGATTCCAATCACAGTGCTCATCTTGGCTTCCTGCGCTATTTAGCATGGCTGCACATTATGCAGCAAGCCCGGATGAGTAAAGCTGTCTCCCTGTTGCAGAAATGCCTCTTGAACACATAGGAGGCTGCAAGATGGGTTATGAGGAATGTCACAGAGGGGCAGAGCCAGTAGTCACTTCTTTAGTGCCCCACTCATTGATTGGAGACATGTGAGTGATAATGGCTAAAGAGAATCTTCATTCCTCAAGGAACATCACCAGTGCTCACACACACACACACACACACACACCATTCTGTTTTTGGTTCACGGGCCGAAAAGCACACAACCTTCTCATGATGTGCTTTTGTGGTGCACATGTGCAAAAATTCAAAGACACTTTGAAACCTTGCAACAATAGAAAACTTTCATAGAATCATAGAATCATAGAGTTGGAAGAGACCACAAGGGCCATCGAGTCCAACCCCCTGCCAAGCAGGAAACACCATCAGAGCACTCCTGACATATGGTTGTCAAGCCTCTGCTTAAAGACCTCCAAAGAAGGAGACTCCACCACACTCCTTGGCAGCAAATTCCACTGTCGAACAGCTCTTACTGTCAGGAAGTTCTTCCTAATGTTTAGGTGGAATCTTCTTTCTTGTAGTTTGGATCCATTGCTCCGTGTCCGCTTCTCTGGAGCAGCAGAAAACAACCTTTCTCCCTCCTCTATGTGACATCCTTTGATATATTGGAACATGGCTATCATATCACCCCTTAACCTCCTCTTCTCCAGGCTAAACATGCCCAGCTCTCTTAGCCGTTCCTCATAAGGCATCGTTTCCAGGCCTTTGACCATTTTGGTTGCCCTCCTCTGGACACGTTCCAGTTTGTCAGTTTCCTCTGAGTTTATATTGTTGAATTTGCAATTCACCGAGCGACTTGCGAATTACGATGGATTCAGTTCACCCAGCACAGCACCTTCCCAGCAGCATCAGCCATTTGCTGTTCCCAGTGTCTGTTTCCAAACATTTGCATATATGTGTCCCACACCCATTGCACTGTTATAAACCTGCAATATATTCACTGTCCAGAAAAGACACGGTTTGCAGCAGCACAGTAGAGTACAGTACAATAGCTCCAGAGGACTTTGTTTTTCATTTGCTTTTTGAGCTCATAACCCTGTCCACAGCTTGTATCCTTAAAATCCAAGCGCTCAATTCTAATAATTGTTCACTCAAAATTCTTGCACATTCACATGTTATTAACCCACCTGGGATTCAGCATTCCCTGTGGTATGTTACAGAGAATATTTATTTTAAAACACTTGATATATTTTGCATAATGCAGGTTTGGGGTGTTCCCCCACCACTTCAAATTACCATTGGGCTGATAATAGTGTAGGCCTAATATAGCATTTAGAAATCATTAACACTATTTTAGTGCTTAAGAGAGAGGAAAGACCACTGCCTGCATAATTGCATATAAATGGTGAAAATAATTTTCATTCTTTCCATGCATAAAGGAAAGCACAAGAGACAGATTCTTCTAATATAAACAAATCATCCACAGCTTCTCTCTCCATCTACTTTCTTCTCTCTTTGTTACAAATTGTTCATACATTCGGCTTAATAATGAATGAAAACAGTTGATATTTCTAATGACATAGGGTAATCTTGAAGTGATGAGTTTCCTTGTTTGCAAAATCCCTTTTTTAAAAAAATGCATTCTTCACTGAACTTGATCAGGAGAAAGATTTATATTATTCACCCGGGGATATAATTGAAAGCTTATGAACTTGCTCAAATGCAGACTAGAAGGGTCTTATATCATACATAAGATAATCGTTTAGTCAAAATCAGCTTCATCTGGTAAGTGACTAGGCCTTATCCAGAATTAGATTTTCTCCAAGAAAATCTTGGGGATTAATTTTTTTGAAGAAAAAAATAAAGTTAAGACCAGGTAAGTAGCTCCTTGCAAAATATGTGTTTATGAGTCCTTGAAGGCCGCTCTTGTCCTTTTACCAAAAGCTTCAATTTTTAAACTCACGTGCAACTGTTTAGTTGGAAGGAGGTAGATTGAAATCAGTGGGGGCTGGTCCATTATGACAAATGGGACACTGCCCCCAAAAGATTCAGTCTACTCTCAGCCAGGCTCCACCTGCCTGCCTTCTTACTTACAACCAGCCCAGGGGGCGATGTGACACATGTCCCTCAACTGTCCCGGGAAAACTGTGACATCCTGTTTTTTCACGTGAGAGCATGGCAGCCATTTTGGGCGCCATGATCTACACCCCCATTGTAACCCCAGGGGTTACAATGGCACACGGGTCAAGTGACTCACCCAGGAGCGCAGCCCGAAACACACACATCCTGGTTCGGGGCCTGGACATGTTGGAGGGCATGCATGACGTGCTGATATATTAGATCAACAACACTACAGGTACTGGAGTGTGAGAGGAACATTAGAAAATGAGTCAGAAGCACTAGCATTATAATCAGGAAAGATAGCACAATATTCCCCACGTCGGAATGCACCCCAAGAGGCATTATGACAGTTCAGTGACACATTCTAGGCAGGCAAGGGAAGTCAGAGACAGCCTGGAGCAGTGCTGTTGAGGGGTGTGATCTGCAGATGCAGAGACCCAATGCTTAGATAGAGAATTCTGGAGGACCAAAGTCAATGCCCAGCCATGAGGCTTCTGATCCCTGGCTTCTGGGACCACTTGGGTCCATGCCAACGATGATGACAATTACCATGTGGCATTTTTTGTGTGCGTATGGTGAAGTTTTCATTTCTCGGTGTGATGAAGAGTCTCGCGAATGCCCAACAATGTGTTCCCCATGATCACTGTTCATCACATCCTGGAAAATGTTTTGAAATCTGGATTGAAGAAGAATGTGTTGAGCCGTGATGGCAGGCTGCTATGCTTGGCAATGTCAGTTTGTGGTGGCCTCGGTACGTCACCGCCATGTCAAAAAATGATTTCGCAAATTTCTTCCTTTCCCCCAGCCTCTGGCCTTTGGAACCAAGTCTGTTAATTGATGTCTTTCCTTCTCTTGCTCCTCTTGTTTAAGAAACATTTTTTTAAAAAATAAATAAATAAATATCTGAACTCAAAACCATTTTAATAATGTTTTGCACATTCGACAAATTGCCTTCATTAAAGAAGCCTCAAAGTACACTCCGTGCTTATATTAGGCTAACTGTATGCACAACCTATTGCTGTGGTTGCCTGTGGTAAGTTAAGTTGGATCAGTAATACTCAAGTTAAAGGTGTGATGAGCATGTAATATGGAAGCAAAACCCTCCCCTCCTGCTGGTTTCCTTTTGTCTTTTCTCACCTGGCACAAGCTCCCTTTGCTCTTTGACTCCATTTCTTTCCCTTTCATTGGCTTTTGCTTCCCAATGTGGAGCAAAAGGTTTTGCAAACATTTCATTGGGATAAATGATATGTTCTTCTGAAAACATTGGTAGGGAACCTCCAGTTCACAGGACAAGGTAGGTCTGCAATATCTCCCCAACTGGCCATTTAGGCGAAACTTCCACAATCAGAGATAATACATCCTTCTGAATACCAGTTGCTGGAAACCACAGCAGGGGAAAGTACTGTTGTGATGTTTGCTGGTTTCCCACAGGCTTCTGGCTGGCCACTGTGAGATCAGGATGCTGGACTAGATGATAAAAAGACTTCTGAAGACTTCTGATGGGGCAACAGAGCAAGCTGCCATTAGTCTATCTTGCCCCATTGATCTGTAGCAGCCCTTTGGGGCTTCGGACAGGAGTCTTCCCATGTGGGAAGATGCCAGTAATTGAATGTGGGACCTTTGCATGCAAAATGTACTGTACCCAGTGGTGGCTGGTGTCTCCTGGGTCTGGTGGGGCAGCAGGGGATGAGGCCAACAGTAGGTGGAGGCAGATGGTTCTAGGTTTGTCACACACACCCCTCCTCCCTGTTGAGTTCTGCAAGGGCAAAACTGAGACTGAGGAGAAAGGACTGACAGCCAAGAGAGGCATCTCTGGTCTGGTTGTAATAAGGCAGGAAGGTGGGAGCTGGCTGAGGTTGGTGGGTCCAATCCCTGTTCATTAGAGTGGACCAGCCTTCACTGTACCACTAAGCCCATTCCCGCTAAGAGGATAATATAAACACAGGAGGCCTTAGAGAGCAGTGGTCTTGGGGGCCCAGTTTTCAGGCAGCAAATTTGGAGGCTTCTCCTTTAATTTTTCGGAGCAGTAGCAATAGTCAGGGCTGCTGATCAGTCGGCAGAACTTCCTCTCTCTTTTACTCTTTTCTTTTTCCCTAACTGGCCCCTCCCCACTTTTTTGGCATTCACTATTTCCCTCCCCTTGCAGAGAATGTGTGGGTCTGAGCAGTTTTCTGCTTGCCCCCATGCTTTCTATGCATGGGTCCAAGTGGTTTTCCATTTGCGCCACCACTTTCCCCGAGAAAACCTTCTATTTAGCACTGAATCAGTGCAAACATCAACCCATGGGAAATCTGATTGACGTTTGCTCTGATTCGTTGGTAAAGAGCAAGTTTCCCCAGGAGAAAACAGGGGGACAAACGGAAATATGGCTGAACCCTAAGTCTAGTTTTATCCCCATCTTCCACCCTGCTGAGTTCTTTAGGAATGAAATAGAGACTAGGGAGGAGGAGGTTAAGAGCTAGTGCCACCCCCTAAATTGGATATAAATTATAAGGCACTTGGGGGGGGGCTGGGGGGCAAACTGAGGTTGGGGGGGCAGCACAATTTCCCCTAATGCACCAGCATCCGCTGATCAATAATAATACGTCTCTTTTACAACTTCAATTATGTCTCAGACCTGTTGAAACCTCCTTTCCCCCACCATCACCCGAAGATATATAATTCCTGGGTTCTTGTTAAACTCTGTTTACAATCAACTCCACAGAGTCCTTCATCTTGGCTACAAATCTGTACTCCAATTCAATCATTTTCAAATAGGAAAAAAAGGATGTCATGTTTCCTAATGAATGCTGAGAAAGAATTGTTTAATATAGATCACTAGATCTCCCGGAGTATATTAAAGTACTCAGAAGAAAAAGCTCATCCTCCCCTCCCCTCTCTTTTCCGTAGCTCCCGGAGTGTTCTCTATATTCCTCATACATTCTTGTTAACATTTGAACACTCGCAGGCTCTTGTACCTGCTGCCCTCAATTACTTTAGCAAGGAACAACTCTTTCCTGGCTCTGTTGCTGTTTCTCTCCACCTGCTGGTACAGAGGAAGGAGGGGGGAAAGTGTCACAGTACAGGTAAATGGGAGCCCTGAGATGTTTTCAGTTACTGAGAAGCAAAAATCCATCAGAAATCTATTCCTCTTGAAAAACACTAGAGAGCTCAGTTCTCAAAATCCCCTCTCCAGCCACATGAGATGGAGCGAGCAGGAGCCGCTGAGGACCAGGAGGAGGACCAGAGGAAAATTGGATGTGTCGTGTTTCAGTTGTGGCTGTGGTCTCTTGACAATTTGGGCTAATTTTTGCTCAGAGTAGACCCATTGAAATGAATGAGCATGACTCGGCTAAGTTCTTCATTTCATCAGATGCACTCTGAGTAAAAGAGAGGTGGACGCTATGCTTGTTGGCACCTGTTTGTCTTGAGGAACAATGGAGTGCACCCCAGACCACATACTTAGCACAAATAGCCCCATTCAGGTGCCCTGGCTAAATGGAAGGGACAATGGCCACTTTCACACTGTTTAAAGCTCTAGGATATGATTTTATGGCACAATGGAACACCGTGACAGAAGCCAGAGTGCATGGAAACACCGTTTACCTTCCCGCCGCAGCGGTACCTATTTATCTAATTGCACTGGTATGCTTTTGAACTGCTAGACTGGCCAGAAGCCATTTAGGCATGCTGGCCACATGACCCAGAAAGCTGTCTGTGGACAAATGTCGGCTCCCTCGGTCTGAAAAGCGAGATGTGTGCCACGCCCTATAGACGCCTTTTACTGGACCTAACTATCCAGGGGTCCTTTACCTTACTAATGTATACAGAGCAGGGATAAGGGAACATTTCCTGTCCAGTTGCCACTTTCCCTCCTGTATGACATGTATAGCATGTCAACAGTGCCAATGGTGGTTTGTTTGCTGAGAAGAAATGGACAAAAGCATTATGTGAAAAGCCATAAAACAACAAGCCCACCAGCCAATTTCATCAGAAAAAAGGACAAGCAGCAACTTTCTGATCAAAGGAGCTTCTTACATGGATGCTGGCTTTCGAGAACTTATTTGGTCCAGAAATGGAAGGCACTGTGTGACTTAAACCTCTTGTTGTGGTACAAGAATATGTGGCTATTGCAGAGAAAGCAACTCACAATGTACATATTTCTAAGGGTAAGGAAAACCTGGAACGTTTCTCCATCATTTGGTGGCATTTCATTCCTCATACGTCAAATTCAGATATGCAAAACTTTCTTCCCTCTGTGCAATAAGGAAATGTGGCTTTCATGATGTGTTTTTTATGCCTTTATTTCTTCTACATTATTTGCTTTCTACTTTTTTTAGAAAAATGAAACCTCTGTACTGCTCCTATGTTTCATAACTTTGATTTTTCTTTTGTGCCGTTGATTTTACATTAATAAAAACCTTGATTTTAAAAAATGAAAAAGGGTAATCTTTTCCTGAGTCATTAACAGCCTGCTAGATTATTCCTCAGATGGTGATAGCTTGGAGGCTAATCCACATGACCCTCTTTTTCTCTGGGGCTTTTGATGTCCACTTTAGATTTGACCTTGAGGCACAGTCCTCGACACATACCAAACTGGCTGTGGGTGGTATCTGCTTCCCATGTCTAGGTCACCAACAGCTAGAATCAGCCTCATGCTAACATTTTAATCCACTGTTTAGGACTGAATTTCAATTCAAAATTAAGAAGATTGGAAGCTGCCTCTGTTAGGAGTTCCTCCATCCTTGGAGAGGGATGTGGCAGCATATGGAAGGGACTTCTCTGTGGTGGCCCCCAAGCTCTAAATCCCTGTCCCTGGATGTGCAGTTGGTGTCTATTTTGCACCCTTCCACCAAGGTGCACCTTTTCAGCCAGGCTTTTAAGCATGGCTGAATGTGAGTTTCCCCTTTTGCATCAGATGCTGTATTTTAGGTGTGGGGAACAGTTGACCCTCCAGATGCTGCTGAACTACAACTCACCTTGTACCTGGCCATGTTTCCTAAGGCTGATGGGAGCTATAGTTCAGCAGCACCCTGAGGACCAATTGTTCCCCACCCCTGATTTTAGATACGATTGTACTTCTGTTGCATCTTGCCGTTGGACTTTTTGCAAAGGGCATGTAACAAATGCTTCTAAACAGTGCAACTCACTATGAACACCTCCCTTGTTCTCTTATAATGGCAATGGTGCCCACCTAACATGCCCGCCTATTTGCACATCTAGACCAGTGTTGGCTGCTCTGACTTGCAGGGCCTCCCTCAAGGCATAGTTCTTTCACTTTGATTGACCCCTTTTGCTGGAAATGCCAGGGACCATCTCAGGCTTTCTACATGAAAAGCATGTCCCCAAGCTAAAGTCTTTCCTACTGGGTTGTGCCAATCAGCCCTTAGCAGATGCTAGTAATTGGCCTAAATGAAATATGTCCTATGCTAATAGAAGGGACAGATGTCACAGCTGATCATCCTCCCTACAATAGTCCCCTGTGCCACCTTGTAATTGGCTGGTTAAAACCCTGATCAGTATACAGTCCTGTTCTCTTATAAGTCAAGGTGTTCAGTTCCTTTCATAAGTCAGTATGCACAGCTTCTTATACCCAGTCACCAACTAGTACAGGGGTGGACTGACTATCTTCTGTTGGAGGGTTGCATTCCCTTGGGCATAATCCTTTGGGACCACATGCAATCAGTGGGTGGAGCCAAAGACTACAGTGTTCTGCTTTAATCTGGAATAGAGACCACTTTGCTTCAATTTTCACCATAGCTACTTCAGATTACAGTGGTAACTTGGGTTACAGATACTTCAGGTTACAAACACTTCGGGTTACAAACTCCACTAACCTGGAAGTAGTACCTTACGTTGAGAACTTTGCTCCAGGATGAGAACAGAAATTGCGTGCCGGAGGCGCGTGGCAGCAGTAGGCCCCATTAGCGAAAGCGCGCCTCAGGTTAAGAACAGTTTCAGGTTAAGAACGGACCTCCAGAATGAATTAAGTCGGTAACCCGAGGTACGACTGTAGTTTATTCAATCCAATGCAACTTAGGTTTCGTGTGATTACTCTCCTATGCACACAAACACCACAAGACCAATACATCTCCTGCTTTGGAAAACAAGGGAAAGTAATTCCTTTCTAAATTCAGTGTGCCACACATATGCACATGGCAGAAGACTGCCAGTTTGTTTTCAGGCAGCATCTTTTTTCCAAAGCCATGCAAGCAGGGAGGGGGGGACTTTTTGTAAACAACATCTATCAATCAGTCAAAATACTGACACTTCCCATTGCTCTGAACTAAATGGATGAAGAGGGGTGGGGTGGGGTCAGAGAGAGAAAGAGATATTTTAAAACCCATAGGGAAAAAATGAGGGAAGGAACAAGAAGGACGGAAAGAAGCCTGATGAGATGAAAGCATGTGGAGGTGTTGGGAGCTGCAGAAAATGAGATTGGGAGGTGAAAGTGGTCCCTGGGGCAAAGGTGTGGAAGCAAACACCCCACTCACCGTTTCCACGCAATCTCCTTTCCCATTTCAACCCCTGACATCATTTCTGCATGGAGGGGTCCCTGCAACCTGCCTGTGGCCCACACCTGATCAAAAGCTGCAGTGGCGAGGTACCTGGGGTAAAACCATCATGCACCCGAGTCTTTCAAGAGAAGGCCATCGCAACCACGTTTCCAGATTATACCATAAAGCATTTCTTAATACAGAGAAGCACTTTCACACAATGTACAGTGGTACCTTGGGTTAAGAACTTAATTTGTTCTGGAGGTCTGTTCTTAATCTGAAACAGTTCTTAACCTGAAGCACCACTTTAGCTAATGGGACCTCCCGCTGCCACCACGTCGCTGCTATGCGATTTCTGTTCTCATCCTGAAGCAAAGTTCTTAACCCGAGGTAATATTTCACACGCAGTTTGTAGTCCGCTGGCAGTAGGAGTACAATATGGGCATGTCTTTAAGTTAACATCTTACATTAAAAACCTGACAGTACCAAATTATCGAAGGCTTTTCACCAAAGCCAGACTAAACGTCTTTCCTTCTGCAGTGTTGGATGGCAGGTTGAGAGGAGTTCCCTACCAGGACAGACTTTGCTCGTGTGCTCAAGACATTGATTCCATAAAACATATTTTGTTGCACTGTGCAAAATATGAGCAAGCCAGGGCTGAACTGATATTACCCTTTGCTGATACCTTTCCCGGGAAAATCAGAGGCTCACTATGTCAGGTTCCTATTGGAAGACCGGACAAATGCTAGAACATTAGCAGTGGCCAAGTTTTTATCGGTGGTTGCAAGAACCAATGATCTTTATATTCTGAATGAAATGCTTGTTTAACCTGGAGGTAGGCTGTGTGAATTATGTATTGCTGTAACAATTTGTTGGGTCTCTGGACCGTAATAAAGGTTGATGATGATGATTTCTAGGTTAGCGGAATCTGTAACCTGAAGTGTATGTAACCTGAAGCGTATGTAACCCGAGGTACCACTGTAGTCCTTTCAGTTGAAATCCATAGGAAGTTGCGTTATACTGAACCAGACCATCTAACTCAGTATTGTCTACACTGACTGCCCGCAGCTCTCCAGCTTTACAGGCGTGGAGGGAGGGGGTCTGCCCCACGCCAACTGAAGATGCTGGGGATTGGAGCCCAGGACTTTCTGGGTACAAAGCAAATGCTCGACCGCTGAGCTGAAGACCTTGCCCAAAGGCACTGTGGGAGGAGAACCGCAGGTGACTAAAATTTCTGCTTCCAGTGGCTTGCCCAGGCTCTCACTAGCAAGGGCAGAAAAGTGCTCTTCTCTCCTCCATCCGTTTCTATTTCCTTCTTAAAGTAAACAATTTCCCTACCATTTGGAAAAATGGAAGAGAAATAAGTAAGATTGAACTATGTCAGTTCCTGGGTTGGCAGTTTGATCTCAGGTTTGGAGGTGTGCCGGGGAGCTCGGGAAGGATCCTTTGGATCCAATGGCTTCCCTTGATCTGCACCCAAGCAGCCCACAGTGCACACACTATTCAGAGCTCCAAGATTCATACAGCCAGGGACCCAGAGGTGTCTGCAGCGACAAGCATGGGGCACCTGACTCCCCTCTCTGACATCAGAGATTTCTCTCTACGCCTGCAGAACGGCAGCTCTGGTGCTTCCGTAGCTCAGCGGTAGAGAATCTGCCTTGCATGCAGAAGTTCTCAGGTTCAATTCCTAGCATCTCCAGGTAGGTCTGGGAGCATCTTAAACCTTTGAAATCCACTGCCAGGTGGCATACACAGATGGACCAATGCTTTCTATGGACCAACGCAGCTTTCTGTGTTCCTACGGTCTCCAGGATGCCATGTGATTACTGGGCTCCTTAGATTACTTAAAAATAAACAGACTGGAATTTAAGAGCAAAATATGCTGATCATTGATAGGAGATCACGGTATTGTTCTCCAAGGCCTCATGGCTTTCTAGACTAACAATTAGAGCTGAACAAATCAGCTCCATCTGGTAAGTGACTAGGCCTTATCCAGAATTAGATCTTCTCCAAGAAAATCTTGGGGAATAATTTTTTTGAAGAAAAAAATAAAGTTAAGACCAGGTAAGTAGCTCCTTGCAAAATATGTGTTTATGAGTCCTTGAAGGCTGCTACTGTCCTTTTACCAAAAGCTTCAATTTTTTAACTCATGTGCAACTGTTTAGTTGGAAGGAGGTAGACTGAAATCAGTGGGGGCTGGTCCATTAGGGCAAATGGGACACTGCCCCACAAGATTCAGTCTGCTCTCAGCCAGGCTCCGCCTGCCTACCTTCTTACTTACAACCAGCCCAGGGGGCGATGTGACACGTATCCCTCAACTGTCCTGGGAAAACTGTGACAGCCTGTTTTTTCACATGAGAGCATAGCAGCCATTTGGGGCACCATGATCTCATCCCCAAAACAATGACTTTTTCAGGGGTTACAATTGCACATGGGTCAAGCGACTTGCCCAGGAGCGCAGCCCAAAACACACACATCCTGGTTTGGGGCCTGGACATGTTGGAGAGCATGCATGACATGCTGATATATTAGATCAACAACACAACAGGTACTGGAGTGTGAGAGGAACATTAGAAAATGAGTCAGAAACACTAGCATTATAATCAGGAAAGATAGCACAATATTCCCCATGTCGGAATGCACCCCAAGAGGCATTATGACAGTTCAGTGACACATTCTAGGCAGGCAAGGGAAGTCAGAGACAGCCTTTAGCCAATCACCCCTTCTGCCTTCTGCCCTCAGCCTTCAGCCACTCCTGACAATAATGGACATATTTATTTTCAGCTTTCTCAGGTCAACTTACCAAAGAGAATTTGGTGGCCCCATGCAGAGCTGCAAGTTATTCTTAGCGGCTTACTCTACAGTGCGCCATGCAGGGACATGTGGCACTACCAACTGTGGGATTGCAGTCTCCTTTCAACCTTTGAAATGGAGTAGCCCGCCAATATATGCATGGCTCTCAAAAACTTTATTGACACCTGACTGAGAATTATTTAAATAGAGAGAGAGAAAGCGGAAGATGTTTAGCAGAAATAAGCACGCAGACGTTTTTCCGACAGAATACATGGGGATAAAGAAATCAGCCGCATTATCGCCCAAGATGGAAGAGGCAAGGCATGGGAAATTCAATGCACTGCGGTTATTTTACCCCTGTTTTTCATTACGTGGGCAACCTCAGAGCTGTACTTGTTAGCATTTAGAAAAAGAAGGGGGGGTTAGTCTGCTGCAGGGGAGCCATTATTGTTGAAATGTGCTAGCATTATCTTGCTTAAGGAGGTGGGGGCACATATTGTTTATGCAGTCTATTTATCAGTGTAAGAATGTATCTTCCAATATGGCAATATCTCGGGTGGTAATAGCATACAAGAATAAAAGAGTGTTCATGAATAGAAAGTTCCTGCCTGTAGCATGTACATCTGAGATACTAAAGGATTATTTACCTATCATTAAGATATGGATTTTTAAAAAATCTGGTCCAGTTTTTCTTCCAGCGGAAATCATATTAAACTCTCTAGTTATTTTATCTGACTTCTGTTGGGCAGCTTTTCATGAGCATGGCAAACGATATGTGTGTATAATTCAGGAACAGAGAAAGAATACACACACACACTTTCTTGCTTTCTCTTTGTGTGTGTGTATTCTTAATCTGTTCCTGGTGTGTTTGACTGTTGTAGGGAGGCATTTGATTTTGTTTGCATTTTAATGGGATACTACCTAATTTAACGAGATGCTACCTTATTCCTCCCAGTACGCCTGCAGAAATCTCCTGTTTGCAGTAGGGAGCTTGCTGGGGTTTGTGGCAGGTGCAGGATCCCAAACCTTTTTGTTCCTCTGGCATGTCGGGGGGGGGGAATGTGTTCTGGAGCCAGAGGTGCAAGGCACATAGAAACAACACTGTAGAATGACGTACAAGAGGTTGGGGGAACCAAATTTTACAGTTGCACAGGGCGCTGCTGAAATTTGAGGGCCCAAATTCCATCACTGCTGAAGCCAACAGAGTGACAGAAGAGAGATTTTGAGCAGGTAGTCTCCCCTGGTACTCTCCCTGGTTTGGAAGAGAACAGGAGTTGAAATGACTCTGAATTATTTGACTCTAATACAGCAGTTCTCAACCTGTGAGTCCCCAGATGTTGTTGGATTACAACTCCCATCATCCCTGACCACTGGTCATGCTGGCTAGGAATGATGGGAGTTGTAGTCCAACAACACCTGGGGACCCACAGGTTGAGAAACACTGCTCTAATATATTTCCCTCTTCTCCCCCAACACACCTTTAAACTGCCCTCCATATGCCCCTCTTTGGCCCTACCAGTACCTCAGCTCCAACACTGGTAGGGTGTCAGGGTTAGAGAGCAATCTCCAAAGTATCTTATGGTCCCTATGATTCCCTCCTAGGTAAAGGGGTCATAGGTCAGTGTCAGAAGGACTTGGGATCAATCATTGGCATCCCCAGGTAGCTCTGAACTCCTGGAGATCTGCTGCTGCTTGTCAGTGCAGGCCGTAGTGAGCAGGATGGACCAATGGGTCCAACTCAGTATAAGGCAGCTTCCTATCATCCTACGAGAATAGGATTGTAGGCTTAATGCTGGCTCCATATGTTTTATGTCTGATGATGACTATTGCATTTTTTAAATGGGCTTCACCTTGTGACAGCTGTTGACTTAAAAGGCAGCTTAAAAAATATCTTAAATAGATAACTACTCAAATAAACATTGTACCTCTGGAGAGAAAGGCTCCAGAATGTCAATGGAGAGGTGGTCATGGGATTTGAATGCATGAATTTCCATTTCATTCCACACCCCTCCTTCCATAACTGGTAGGAAATGCACAGGTGGCGCTGTGGTTTACACCACTGGTGGTTCAAATCCCCGCGACGGGGTGAGCTCCTGTTGCTCTGTCCCAGCTCCTGCCAACCTAGCAGTTTGAAAGCACGCCAGTGCAAGGAGATAAATAGCTGCTGTGGTGGGAAGGTAAACGGAGTTTCCGTGCGCTCTGGTTTCCATCATGTTGTTCCATTGCACCAAAAGCATTTTAGTCATGCTGGCCACATGACCTGGAAAGCTGTCTGTGGACAAACACCGGCTTCCTCGGCCTAAAAGTGAGATGAGAACCCCATAGTCACCTTTGACTGGACTTAACTGTCCAGGGGTCCTTTACCTTCATCTTTTTACCTTTACATTCTGACACCCATCATGGATTCTCCGTTAAGCATGGGTCCTTTGGTCTTTCATGGAGCCTTCCTAGTGCTAAATCAGAGCATGGATTGACAGGTGGCGTTAGCAGATTGACAGACATTTTTACTGGCTCATACAAAGCTCAGGGATCCCTTTTCCCAAAGTCCTCCTGCAATAAACTCACATATCTTTTGCAGTAAACTGAGCACAGCTGACACAGGACAGGAGGGAGAGAGCAAGGGAGAGCGGGAGCCTTGTGCTCTGTTTTTATAGATACATAATCCCCGTACAATGATATTGTGTTTATTCATTTTGTTTATTGGTTTGAACATGATTTTTAATGCGCACATAAAAAAAATGTTTTCAAGTTTAATTGCGGTGTCAACCCCATCAGGTTCATCTTTATCTTTGACCACTTTTCTTTCCAGGAAGCAGCCAAGCTGGGTTTTTATTTTATTTTTTTATAGGATCCCCACACATAATAAAGCATCCAAACAACTTTTTCACGTCATCTTCAATGAATTCAGAGGATGCAACAGTTTGCACACTCTCCTGCACACATTTTATTACTCCCACTTTCATTCTACAAGGCTGAAGCGAATCATATAATAAATATGTGTCTTGCACTTGTGAGCTTGATATACTGTTCCCTTCCAAGAGGCTCTTTCTGCTCGTAACTTAGATTGCTGGCAAAAAGCATTCCCCATTCAGCTTCTCAGGTTAGCAATGTTTTATAAAGCCTTACAAGGGAAATAATGATAATAATTAATGTTGTGCCGGATATTCACCACGTGAGATTATCGCGGCCAACAGAGCTGCTTCAGGAAAGGAGGAATGTTTGCTGCATTATAGTGCTTCCTCCAAGAAAAAGAACAGAAATTCACCAGGATATCTTGGGCACCTCATTCAATACAATGGTCTTTATGATGTGCTTGGTTTTTCACCCTCCAGTAACACCGTATGGCAAGATTTATCTCTCAAAGAAATGCAGGTGGAACAGTGAAGGCAAGTACATTTGGGTCAAGGGAGAACAGTATAGGTGAGGTTTAAGCAGAGGTTGGAGGACCATCTCTCATGGATGCTTTAGTTGAGATTTCGGCATTGCAGGATGTTGGACTAAAGGACCCTCAGGGTTCCTTCCTTTACCCGGGGGTGCAAGGGGTGCAGGATACCCAGGCAGCAGCGTAGCGTGGGTTGTCAGCACCTGGGGCAAGGCAAGTAATTTGCGCCCCCTAACCCGGGGCAAGGCAAGTAATTTGTGCCCCCTAACCCCTAACCTGCCACCGCTGCCAGCTTCTTCTTGCTGCTGCCTGGGCTGGTCTGGTGTGGTTCTCTCCCGCACTCAGCGCTGCGCTGGGCGGCCGCTGCACTGTCCCTCCCCCAGATAGTCCCTCGCTCTCTCTCCGCACCACACGCCTGGCACCCACCCCCTCCACAGTGGGCAGCGACCCAGCGGCTCGGATCGGATTCGCACAGCCAGCACTGCAGTGAGAGAGAGTGAGTGAGCCAGGTAGGGGCAGAGAGC